TTTTTTTCAAAATAGTTTAGGAAAATTGTAAGTGTCTTCAAATCTATAAATATATAAAAAGACAACATATTTACAAAAATATTAACATAAAAATCAACCAACATTTAACGCATTCCAATTTCAGTAGTTTTTTAATTTTCTTTTAATCTTAACCCAAGAAATCGGGCATCCATAAATGCACCCTAAATTGATGGGTTTTGTTGATGTATTTTTTGAAAATTTCATATATCAAAATCCATTCTCAATTAAATAGAAATCAAAATCCGTTCTCATTTTTTATTCAAAAAATCTAATTGAAATAATTAGGTCTCATTTCGGATATAAAATTTTATTTTTTAAATCCCTTATCATTGAGTTGCCATAAAATCGGCCCACATTTATTGCATGCCCGTAGTTTTTTTTTTTTAATTTTTTTAATTTATTAACCCCTTAAATGCACCCTAAAATGATGGGTATTGTAGATTTAATTTTGGTAGATTTCGGTAGTGTTTACAGTTTTCTAAAAATCAAAATCCTTTCTCATATTTTATTCGAAAAATCTGGTTGAACTAAAAATTGGCTGAATGAAAACTTTCATTTAGAAAAAATACAATCACATGTTCTCATATAAATGAACTTCCTATTAAACTACTATTATTTACATATATATTTTTTTGGCAATATAGAATTCGAATTAACAATAGATTATCACGAAAGACGTTTTACGATATCCATTATATTTTGCTATGCAATCTGCATAAAACAAGTATAATACATATAAGATATATCCTACTAAATAATTTAATTGATTTATTTAAACCTGTCTAGAATCCGAATATCTGTAAACTCATGGCCAGCTTTATGCATGTTTCACGCGCTACGAATCTTAAGTGTTTGAAAATTTTAATATGTGGCTATGGACGATTTAACAAAAGGGCAAATAAATAATGTTGTATACGAGAATGCGTTTCTTAATATATAAGTTACATTTTGTTTATTTTAATATATGCGTTTTACGTTTTTTCATTCATCCAATCTAAATGTTTACCATAATAAAACTAGCCCGTGCATCGCACGGGTACCACACTAGTTTTTTACTAAATGGTGTGTTTGTTTATTTATATATTTATTTATTTATTTTTTTGTCGAAGCAATAGATAAATTTTATAACTAATGACAAAAGAAAATGCAAAGAGAAACAGTCAAAAGGTGAAAAGTACAACTAAGGGCTAAATAAGACTGGGAGGACTGACCCGATGATCGCCTAGAGTCTATCCTAGCAACGCTAGAACAACAAACTCGCAACAACACAAACAAAACTAAACAACTACGAAAAAAAATTTCAACAGGATAATATTCGGGTATACGGTCCCAGTAGGAGAATACACTCACAGCCGGGCTTGAAAATGACATCTCAAAGAGGAGTAATTTAGTTGTATAGCTTGTACGAGAACAACTTGTATATTGCTAAATAACAAACTGAATGGACTAAGACAGTTCAAACAATTATGGATGCAGTATGACTTAAAACTGAACCTTCAGGAGAGCGTCACACTCTCTCTCCGGATCTCTTTCATTAATGCAAACAACACAAACATTATTCAAGGGTTTACAGTACAGACTCCATTTACACTCTACTTGAACAACGATTTGTACAACTACTTATCCGACCACAAATCCATTGTGGTTTTTCACGTTTGACTACCTCAAACTTCATAGAATGAACCTCCGATCACCCTGTATTTTACACTCAATAAAATACAATAAAATCATCACTCAAGAAAATCAACTCACGTTACAGAATATGCGCACACACAAAAATTCCAGATCGAAAGTGCTCCTCTCCAAGTATATCGTCGTCCTTTTATCTTCAATCACATATGGTAAGTCGCGCACTAGACTATGCTTCCAAGTCACGTTCACTTATGGTCTTGCACATTTGGAAAGTGAATCCCAATTGCCTTTCGTTAGACATGTCATAATAAAACATATATTACTATTTATCAATAAACTGAGGCAATTAGTTCAAGTCATAAAGAAAAACTTCTCTTAAATATTCTTTAGTCGTCTAAACCTGGGAACTAATGAAGGTTCATCGATTTAGTGCCAATCTTCAAAACTTACAAGTAAGAACCATTAAGTCCAATAAAAAAATTCATAACCTAGTCATTTTTCTGTGATGTGGTCATGGCATCAAAAATATTACAAGTACATCTAGTGAAACCACCACAAGCACATTTTAAAATCAGTTTGTATGTATGTGCTCATCCCAAAGGGATTTGAAACTACTGTAATATTAAGTGATAGAAAAAAAGTCCTTGAAGATACTATTTCTAATAATTTGTCTATATTTAAAAATACAATTTGATAAATTTTATCTATTATTAACATAACGTGTCAAATAATATTTTTAGTGCTGAAAGATAATGCTTTAACGACAATTTCTTAGTTTTTCCTTATATTTTATAATCATACTGGCCTGGCTATGCACTCACTAATTGTGACTGAGCAAATACTACAAGAAAAAATGCACAAGAGTACAACATGGTACCAAAATTGTAGTAATCAAACTCAAATTCAACACATGTGGAAGGTCACTTGGAAGCTTCCTATAATCAACAAAATCAAGAACTTTTTTTTTTTTGGAAGAGCTAGTATGGGTTTTTGAGAACCAAGTGACAGTTGAAGAGAAAGGGGATGAGCAGGGAGGTAATTTATGAGTTTCGTGGGGAGTGGAAGGAGGATTTGGATCATATCTTCTTTACTTGCTCTAGGGCTAAAATTTGTTGGCAGCTGTTTGGGGTAAACTGGGATAGGATAGTGAAAGATGGATTTGAGTTTGGAATATGGTGTGGCTAGAGACTAGAAAAGATAAAGCCATCATTGATAGGGTAAGTCTCTCCACTTACCTTCTATGATGGATGTGGAAAACTAGAAATAGTTGGTTTTTCTATTAAAAAAAAAAAAAGGGTGAGTGAGGAGATGATAATTAAGTGTTCTACTAGTGAGGCCCTTGGAGTAAATTGCTATAGATTTCTTGTCTCTATTCGTTGCCTCATTCATGTTGTAACGTTAAAACCTACAACTATTTAAGTACCCGTTGTACTCTTGCTTTAGGTAATAGAATGAGAAAGAGAAATTTACCTCTTCCACTTTACATTAACATTTTTATTACATATTTACAATTCATATATACTAGTACAACACCCGTGTATTACACGGGTGCTTTGTTAAATTACATTTTTTCTTAAAATTTAAATCAATAAAGTTGTTTAAAATTTTAATATTAATTATAAAAAATATATATTATTTTATTTTCTCAAAAGACATTTGTTGCTTGTGTGACTTATCTGTGTTATATTATAATAATTTTTCAAACTTATAACATATAACTACTTTAAACATGAAAATATTAATTGAGAAATAATTTTATTTTTCTAATTGATATTAATAAATAATTTTGTTATATTTATACAGATAATAAATATAATTTATTTATTTTATACATACAATATGGATGTCAATTTGAAGCTCATCAAAAGATGATTAATTTGATATATTATATATATAAAACCGAAAAGAAACTCAAAAGTTATCAACTTTTAAAATACATTTATAATTCAATGGTTTATAATAGGAAATGATATTAAAATACAATTAATAAATCTAAAATGATCATTATTAATCAACATATTTATGGTAATCCAGATCTAATTGGATTGAAATTAAATTAA